AGCGCCGGCAGTATCTTCAGGAGCCCTGTGGAGTCCTTAGAGATCGGCATGGTACTCTCAGACGCCGGTGGGGCCCTCAGAGTCACCGGTGTAGGACCTACAGAGTTACCGGTGGCTGGCTGCCAGAGGCACTGGTAGGGGCCCCAGAGGCGCCGGTGTGGGACCCTCAGAGTAGAGCACTTCACGGATAGGCTTTTTAGGATCCGGCCCGGCCCATATCCGGCAAGTCATATCCAGATCCGCCCATTATCCGCCTTTCTTTGAATATCAGAATCCGGCCCACCCATGGCCCGTATTGCAGCCAAACTTCCAAAAAATATCCGTAATAATCCGTTTCACCAATAACTGGTTTCACCCAAAACTGGACTAACAAATTCAATCTAAGGGACCAGACAGCCATACATTTCATAGACCATCATGGTTCCAAAAACCATGCATACATTGCATACATTATCCACTTGAAGACAAGTCTTGTGACAAGTGAGTGTCATAAAATGATGCCTTTTACTTTAATCAAACCTCTGCTGCCGCTTAACACATTAGGTTAATTTTTAACTTCAATGTTGAATGTTAAAATTTTGATCCGTTTTGATCCGGGTTCAACCTTCAATTCCCAAATCCGGCCCGCCCATATCCGTTCTTTTTTAACAAATTTAGAATCCAATCCTATTCGGTCCGCGGATTTATCCGTGGATAACGGATTTATCCGGCCCAAAGTGCTCTACTACCTCATAGTCGCCGATGTGGGGCCTTCGGAGACACTGGTGTCTCAAGAGGTGGCGGTGTAGGGCCCTGCCTCAGACATGTCTGTGTGGTGCCCTCACAGTCGCCGGTGAAGACTTTCAAAGACATCGTTGTGGGAGTCCTCACTCCTCAGAGACACATGCATTGGGGCAAGGGGTCTTCAAGACACCAGCAAGGGCCAGCAGAGGCCTTCAGGGGCCCTGTGGGATCCTGGAGACCGGCGTGGTACTCTCAGGCGTCACTGGGAGCCTCAGAGTCACCAGTGTGGGGCCCACAGCGTTGCAGGTAGGTAGCCGTCAGATGCGCCTATGTAAGACCTTCAGAGGCGCCAGTGTGGGGCCCTCAGAGCCGCCGCCGATGTAGGGCCTTAAGAAATATTGGTGTAAGTCCCTCAGATTGGCGGTGTTAGGCCCTCAAAGGCGCCGGTGTGAGACCATCACAGGCGCCGTTATGGGCCCTCAGAGACACTGGTGTGGAGCCGTTCCATACGGGTATGGGCCAGGACCATAATTAGAGCTGACGCTTAATAGGTCAGCAAGGTCACTCAGAGGCCAGCACAGGGCCCTCAGAAGCCGGAGTGGGGCCCTTATGGAGATGTGATGTGTGGCGACTCAGGAGCCCGTGACTCCGTGAGGTGCTCTCACGAGTCCTGCGGGTCTTACCTCAGTCGAAATAAGGCACGCTTGGACCCTGAGCGGCCAATTGGCACTGCAGGGCCTCTCGGACCCATAGGGCACCATGCATCTAATGAGGCGGCACGCGCCCCTTGTGCCCCCCCCCCCCCGGTTACGCTGCACTGGCTGCGGCCATACAGGTAAATCATATTCTAACCGTCCCTATTCCCAAGCATAGGCAGCGGCCGATTCCTGGTTTGCGCAATATGAGTGCCATCGTTAGACAATACGTTCAAAAGGGTTGAAGCGGCATGACTCCCCTGTGGTAAGAACTAAGAAGCAACATATTTTTAGACAAAATAAAGCAATGACAACTAAATTGAGGTTACTAAAACGACTCTGATCACAAAGGTAGTATTAGGAAGGCTTTCTAATCCATTTTTATTTAGTTCCTCGTTATAGGCGTAAGAAGTGTAAGTCTGAACGGGGGGGGGGCATACTTGTACTGAATACCCTCCCCAGGCTCCTGTCGGGGGGGGGGCATATGCCCCTAATGCCCCCCCCCCTGGATCCGCCAGTGAGGGTGTTATCAATGGTTTTCAGGAGTTTTCAGGGGAGCATTTTCAACAGTTTTGACCCATACGGATTCAATTTTTTCTCTGCAGTGCAGTGAACTCAGAAAGTCAAGGCGCGTCGAATGGTATACTTTTTAGCTTGCTTAAGTGTACTAAAAGTTTGTTTTCTTAAATTTTTGGTAAACTTTATTCAATTAATTAAGTTCAAGTTAATCAACTTGCATCATATTGCATATCATTCGATTTGGCTGATCACAAGGAACACAATGACACCATTTTGTAAGCTCTAGCATCATTATGTGCCAAGTTGTTGGCAAAAACGTCATTTGACCTCAGTTGACCTTATTTGACCTGACCCATGGACAAGTACACCAAACAAAGAAGCACCAAGTGACCTGCTTTTAAGTACTGTGGTTTCAAAGCATAAAAATGATAGAAAGAAGCGCATATCTCCAGTATGTATTTTCCGAACTTCGTATTTTCCCATAGGTTTAACATTACGACGTATTGACCTCTAACTGACCTCAGATCAGTGACGTAAAAAAAAACGAACTATATATTATACAAATCGGTGAACTTAGCACACCCTGAAAGTTTGAAGGAAATCAGTCAAAAACTGTGAGTAGGACAGGTGCAAAAAGAAAATTGAAATTTGACCATGACACTGTACCGGTTTTTCTGACTTGGTGACCTGACCCAAAGTTTTTACGCTATCGTCGAAAAACCTTAGGGGGGGGGTCGCATCGACGCCCCTGCCAGGGCGAGGGTCAAGCACCGACTCGGGCAACTTTTTAGCGGTAATACCGAGGGGCACACATTTATGACGCATTCCCAATAAATGTGAATTATTATATCACAATGACGTTACGTTGCCATATAGTTGTGGAGAAGCAAAACGTCTAGTTCAGACAGAATGGCGGTGGCCAATAGGAAACTTGCAGCAATTTCCGCTGATAGTTTGGTTCGATTTCCGGTGATAGTTGTTTGTGCTCCCGGTACTTATTTGATATAAACGGATTTTGTTATTGAGGCGAGATGAGCACTTTTTTAGAAACGTAGCAAACTTCCATTCACAATAGCTAAAAAGTGTGCTCATGGTTGGGAAGAGCAGGGCGAAAAGCAAGAAGCGAGGCCAAAAAAAAAATCAGGAGTTATTTTTATTTACAAAACGAGGGGGTGAGAGCAAGGAGGGCGAGTACTTTAAGGACGATCCCAAACTACGTATCGGCACACCTTAAAACGCAGAAGCCTCTTTAATCGCATTCCAACAGAAGGGTCTTTCCTCGGCTGGTCGGCCATATTACAGTAATACACTGTTGCACCATGTCTGCGGCCTGCCTGTGTAGGGGAACGGCTATCTGCTAGGACCGCCCGGGGCCGCTCCTCGCACAGAGCCACTGTGATCAAAGAGCTTCGAACAAACCCAAAACTACGCTTTGAATCCCGAGAAATAATCCCAATATACACACTGCCGCACCAACTCCACGCGGGCTGCTACCGCATGAATCGCTCACCTTCCCCGGCCTCCCTCCCCACTCGGTACGGAAACAGTCGCATGGATTATGTCATCCAGTGGGGGAGCATTCATTCTGGCCAGGGTTCATAATGTCCAGGGTACGTTATGCCCAGTGTCGAAATGGCCAGTGCCTTAAATGGGCCAGAGTTCATAATGTCCAGGGATTGCATGGTCCAAATGCGGCCAACTGGCTGCAGATAGGGTATATTCAAAGAGGCCAGGGTTCATAATGTCCAGGGCACGATGTGTCCAGTGTTCGAAATGGCCAGGGTTCATAATGTCCAGGGCACGATGTGTCCAGTGTTCAAAATGGCCAGAGTTCATAATGTCCAGGGCACGATGTGTCCAGTGTTCAAAATGGCCAGTGCCTTGAATGGGCCAGAGTTCATAGTGTCCAGGGATTACATAGTCACTGAAAGTGACGTCATTATGAAAAAACACGGAACCAGCTCAATGCGAAGCAGTGCAGTGCCGAAGGCAATGCCTTAGGAGAGATTACAGGCAATAGTAAATCAAATATTTTTAGGTTAAGTGGTTATGTATCTGGCTTCAGGACACTGGACACATCGTGCCCTGGACATTATGAACCCTGGCCATTTCGAGCACTGGACACATCGTGCCCTGGACATTATGAACCCTGGTCTCTTTGAATTTACCCTATCTGCAGCCAGTTGGCCACATTTGGACCATGTAATCCCTGGACAATATGAACACTGGCCAATTCAAGGCACTGGCCATTTCGAGCACTGGACACATCACGCCCTGGACATTATGAACCCTGGCCTAAATAATACGCACCCGAACTCCCTGTGTGCACCCGCGGCCTTTGAGCAATAATCGGGCTGGTTATGCCCTCCGTGCGGTGGCTGGCCGAAGTTCACCAGACAATTGCCGACTAGATGGGATACTGTTCCGCATCACACTAATCGGTACACTATCAGATACACCAGGCCTGCCCCGCTTCGGTCCCGGTATGAGCGCGGATTCTGCGCTCAATAGTACAGTCCACAGCAGAAGTAATGTGTGGTTTCAGTCATGGGTATGTTCTGCTTCTGAAGCTTAGGAACGATTAGACAGACTACAATGAAACTCTGAATGTAGCTTATATGTATCGTCACCCTTGCAGCTGCAACTTTAGCTAGTGACATCTTCTTTTCGATCACTCCGCATTAAACAATCGCCAGTCAAAGCCAACCGTTGAGATTGGTAAAACCCTACATTACTTTAGCGGTGGGCTGTACAGTCTGTCTTAAAAGTACCGCGCAAAGTGACGGTGGATCCATCGAGCCTGACTGAGCAAGGGCCTCCTAAATTTGGGTCACCGACGCAACTGACATCCTCGTCCATTCCCTAGGTCAATTGGTCGGTGACTTTCAAATTAAAACAGGCCCTTTCTCGGTCAGGCTTGATGGATCCACCGCCACTTTGCGCGGTACTTTTAAGACAGACTGTACATTACATTTCTCTTGTGGATCGCATGACTGCACATGACTGGCATGACGAGCCGTGCTCAGTGCTGCATGACCTGGCTGCACGGTTTGCGGCCCGCAGCTGCCGGAGAGTGCCGCCGACATCCAGCCGCAGCCACCGCCCACCGAGGGGCCCCAGCCGGAGCCGGAGCCAGAGCGTCTGGGGTCGGAGCCGGAGCCGGAGCCAGAACGTCTGGGGCCCGAGCCGGAGCGGCCGGAGCAGGAGCCGGAGCGTCTGGGGTCAGAGCCGGAGCGTCCAGAGCCGGAGCCGGAGGTAGTCCAGGTGGGTGGAAGCGTTGCCGCCAGGTTCTGTTTTCCGTGTTTTGCATCATTATTTTTCACAATTATGCTTGTAATGATTAAGCCGGGTGTGGCTGTGATCGCACCTTGTTTCAGTTCAGTAGCTTTGCCGCTTGCCGTACGACTGGGAAGTGGGGACACTTGTCATCCTGCTATGGTTGGGCTGCGTGCTGCATGTCACTGTGACCGCCTCGCCACTGCTCGTGTGCGCGCTGATCGATGCAGTCCCCCGCCCCGCGTCTCTCTCTCTCTCTCTCTCTCTCTCTCTCTCTCTCTCTCTCTCTCTCTCTCTCTCTCTCTCTCTCTCTCTCTCTCTCTCTCTCTCTCTCTCTCTCTCTCTCTCTCTCTCTCTCTCTCGTCTTTGGCTGCGGCCACCGCTGGCCGTGTCGCCTGCGCTTGTGCACGGCGCTGCAGGCTGGCCGCCGTATCGCTCAGGCGTCGCTCGACTCTTCCGACTCGACTGAAGACGAAGAGGCGCGCACCGCCGGACGCTTCATCACGCCGGCTGGAGTGGAGGTGAGAACGCAGGCCAGCCGTCCGCTATCACCTCGTTTCACGACGCTTATCTGGTAAATGTTTGGCTCACATTTGGTTCACATTAGCCGTTTTCACGACGGAACTTTCGCAGAGGAACCTATTTGATACCTGAAAAGTACCTACCCTTGGAGGCCTTAACATCCCTCAAACTGAAATATTTTATGTTCAAAATAATTTTAGAAGTTTAAATCCGGGCATTATGTGTCCTCAAATCACTTATTTATTTACAAACACCGCAATTTTCGGTTCTAGTAGCCCACCTTTCGACTATGAGGTATCAAATCAGCGTGGCAACTTGCTCCCTCTTTGCTCCCTCGGGTATCTAATTCCGGAATTCTTAAAAACAAGGAAAGTATACATCGAGTTCTCTTTTATACCTATTTAGTTATGTTTTAATGTTGATTAAAATATGGCAAATTTTTAAATTACATTTCGTGAGATGATGTTTTTCGTACTCCAGCGTAGATGGGTAGCCATACGGCTTCCACGGTTGACAGTGATGACATCAGTCATCTTTTGCAAACTCGTTAAAGATTTGGGCTGTACGGGGATTCGAACCCCGGGCCTTTGGATTAGCGCTCCAATGCTCTACCTCTGAGCTATACCATGGATGAGATAATAATGGATTGGTGTCTTCGCAGTTTTTGGCGACATTGAGCTCAGGCCTGCCATCTAGCGGGAGAATTGTCGTAAGTTAGGAGCAAGCCGAGTGAACGCCGCTGATTAGCATTGTGACACACGGGAGTGTGGTGCAGTAGCAGGCTTGTTGTGCAATTTTTCAAAAGGTTATGTCTTTATATGTCAGTAAAAGCGAAGAAATTAATAGATTTATGTGCAGGGTCAGTAATAAGATAAGCAGTTCCGTGTTATTTCCTCATTAAATCGTGAAACAGGGAGTTATTGGAGACTTCGCCAGCACGTGTCGTTTTCTCTATTTTTTCACATGAGTCTTTACTTGGCCTAAATCAAACAAATTGTCCGATCAAAGAACAAAACGAACGTAAGTACTATCTATAAGTCTAATGAAAAACTTAAACGGAATTGCTAACGTCATTGCCGCTCAATATGTCATTCAAGACGCTCTATGAAAAGGACCCAACCGGTGGTGCGTAGTCGATGAAATTTCAGTAACTTTGGCTCCAACTCCGATTCCGGTATCATCGACTCCGACTCCTCCGGGCAGAACTGTCAATTCACACAGACTCCGACTCTGACTCCGACTCTGCAGCCCTGGTAAGTCTGTGGAGTGATGCCTTTTCGGTGACGTTCGACTCATACTCGGGCTACAGCTTTTAAAAATCAACCGACTCCGAGTCGGAACAGAATCGCTGGCTCTGACTACAACTTCGCAGCCCTGGCCCAAGATAGCCGCCTAAAACAACTTTTATGTGTGATCTTCTTCGTACATTGTTAATGTTATTTTAAACAAGGAATGGAAAAGGGAGACGAAGCCTTCGCCCTTCACAAACAAGGATCTCCTGTTGCTGATCAATCAACTGCTGGAACAGAAAGGCATAAACACCACGCATCTCATTTCATCGTTTTCCTAACGACTCTGCACCAATGTGGGTACAGCAATGCAGTGCGAGCATCGATGTGACATTTGTGTACCAAGTTTGAGTGTTATCCGCCCAGCCGTTCTTGAGATATGGAAGCGGCACCCCGCACGTGCACACGTGCAGTAGCACCCCCATGGTGACACATGGAAATGCATTGGCCACTGGGTGCCAAACTATTGACGAAGCTTTACTGTAATGGGCCCAGTCATTGCGGAGTTACTTTATGTGGAACAATTTCGACACCCCTAAGTTGGCACGTGGCACGTGCCGTAACATTAACTAAGATGAAGAAAATCGGGCGAAATTCGGAGAAGGAATAAGCCTATGACATATTGTCAAACTGCCGACCATTGTGAGTAAATGACCATATAAAAGGTCGTACAAGCCGATGGGACTGGGCGTTTCAATACACACCGTCTTACGCATTTTATTTTCGCTATTACCTTAAGGCTACTTGACGTTTTTGGCTTTCAAGCATTTAAGACATTTTTTGTCGTCTCAGATCCAGTAAGATTACCTCCAACTCGTGGGAATATGCACTTCAAGCCAACTAACACACCACACCCACGTGTGTCATAATGCTGAGAGATGGCGTTCACTCGGCTTGCTCCTAACTTACGATAATTCTCTCGCTAGATGGCAGGCCTGATCCCAATGTCGCGGATCCCAATGTTAATTTCCACGAGACACCAATCCAGTGTTATATCATCCATGGCTATACAGACCAAGTACTTTAACGAGCTTTCTGCCAAGTTTTATGCGGATCATTCTTAGGTGTTGTTTTTATCCGCTGGGACTGAGAGCGTGAGATGATGTTTTTCGTACTCCAGCGTAGATGGGGTACGATTATTACGATAAATTACGATAAATTACATTTCGTATAAGAAAACACGCAAAACAATGAAACAAAAATGACTACGGCGGATAACTACCTTCAGGTATCTAATTCCGACCAATCAGCACCTCAGTATGATATGACGTCATACAAGAATGGTGTTGTAGGCCGTTTGCAGTCCAGAGCTCTGTTCGCCCGCTGCTGTCAAAACAGCTTCCCCAACAGCCCACTAGGTGGCTACTGTGTTGAAGAGATAGGACTGTGCTGTTGACCAATGAGAGGCCGAGAAACGCACGCAGGCTGCTGACGTAGGCTGCCGTGCGCTTACTATGGGCAACCACAAAAGTGAGATATTTCTTCTTTTAATGGGGCTACAAAGTGATCTAAAACGCAGACAAAAAAGTTACCGGCACTACAAAACCACTGCCACCATCCATACGCTGGCTGATGGACGAGATTGTTGCCTAGCAACGGAGACCACGTGAATTTGTCCAATAGGAGCTCGAGTCGCGCCAGCAGTGTGTGACGTAGACTGCTGTTATAACCGCAGAGTTCGTGCGGTCGCTGTGGGCCAACCGCAGCGAAGGCGCGGCCGTTGGGCGCGCCCCGCGCCGCTGTCACACGTGCGCCAAACAAGCTGAGCAATGTCCCTTTTGATTGTCGCTTAGCAGTGGAGAGTGGAGACCACGGTCACGACGTACTTTTGGCGTACTTTTGTCTGCAGCCCCATCCGTTAGCTGCGTAGGTTTCATGAAAGTAATCGGACGCCATTTAATTGCGTCCCAGAAAAGCTATTTCTGGCACCTAAAAGCTGACTCGCCCCAAAATTGGTCCTCAGCACCTTTTTGGAGGATACCAGCACTAATCATGGAAAATGACCTTAATTAGCTGTTTCTGGCACCTATTCATCGGTACGCCTTACTCTTTTTTCTGAATATGGCACCTAAATGCTGAGCGTAGCACCAATCTAGTAGAAAAATGAACTACTGGCTGGTAGAATCATGTTGTTCTGGTATAATGACCCCTGGAGTCTAGTCTAAAGGTTGCCAGTGCAGCTACACTCTAAGACAGCCCCGTAGTGATCTCAGCATTGTATATGACGTTTTAGTAAGCAAATAATATTGATTTGTTTGAAAAAAACAATGTCATTTAAATATTTAAAAGCATTTATTTGTAATGCTTAAAGGGAAACATTTTTATGAGTAATTGTCTCGATTTTGACCATTAAAACGGGTATTGTATTTTTTGACGTCAACAAATAGCTCCAAAAAAGAAATGTAATGTTTTCATTCCGTTCAAGGCCGCTGAAGAAACGCGGGATCTTGCGTGGGACATTGTCCGTTGTTTGCCGCGCAGAGTTGTGCCGTGGTTGTGCCTTTTTCATCCGTTTCTTACTTATGTCATTTGTGTGCATGAAGCTTTGATTTTGTTTTTGGTTATTGTGTGGCCGGTCAGTCAAACGCCCCTGTAGAAACCGGATGCTGCGTTTGATCGAGATGGAGTCAGACGATGATTGCAGAAAACTAATAATATTGAAAAGAGGGCCGGTTGCGTGGCATGTCTGTTCAGAGTTTACATTTTGCTTTACTCCAGTTTATGACCTGAGAGCCTGGCTGGAAGTGACGGATCCAAACTTTTCACGTTAAAATGGCTGAGGGTGCAATAATCTCTAGTCTCTACATAGCGGGCTGGTATAGGAGCGTCTTGCTATGCTGCACCATAGCTGGCTAGTGATTCTCTTTTGGCTAGAAATGGCATTAATCATTATCTCCACTGGCGAAAATGGCACTTGACATCACCGAATGCAACGTTCATGTTTGTTAGGATACATAAAATCAGGAAGATTACGCGAATTAGGTAGGCAAACGTGGAATAAAATAGGTGCTGGAAGTTTTGGTTTTGGTGCTGAATCAGCAAACAGCAAATACGGAGTTCAACTAGACGATCTGGCAACTTTAGGCTGTGTGGAAGCAATTAGGTGCCAGATTCAGATATTAGGGTCGAATAAGCATTTTGGGGCTGATCAGCAATTAGGTGCCAGAAACAGCTTTTTAGGGACCAGAAACAAATATTCCCCAAAGTAATCTTGGGTTTCATGGCTCGACGCTAGTGACCTCTATATTGAACTTCATCAACGCGCTAGCGACATCTCGCAGCAGCCAAAAGGACTTGGCATTATGCAGTGAATCATTCAAACTTTGCAAATCATTGGCAACTTTGCCGAGAACATAGGCGGCGGAATGGGGAGGGCACCGGGGCACCGTGCCCCCTTTGATTTTGACATTTTTACATAAGTCCTATGGGCGTTGCATGGAAAGAATTTAGAATGGGACAAAAGGTCGGCAGTGCCCCCCTCCTTCATTGAAGGTGTTCCGCCGCTACTGCCCGAGAACGCCGATGTTCCTTTCGCACCGGGCGTTGGTTCATCACAGGTGTTGGTAGGGCTCGAATGGCACAGTCAAATAGCACAGCCATTCTCCCTTAATAAGCACTACCCCCTAGCCCTCGCCACCGAGAAGAGGGGGTTCGGGTGTCGGCCTCGACGTTTCTTTTTAAGGTCACTGCTCGGAAGGCGCTGGTATAGAGATGAAAGCTGGCGCACTTGAACATTAAAGACGGATCTTCAAGTTCACACCGACCACATTATTAGGTCAGGTCAGGTTACTGACTTGGGACGTCGTAAGTGAACTTCTGCACGGCCCTAAAATGTCGCAATTTAGTCCGAAATGGCGAGGGGCGGGGAGGGCAGAGTCCATCTACCCTCCCCCTAAACGGCATCTGATGAAGAAAACTGATAGGTTCGGCGAGAATTAAAAATGCCCTAATTATTGCCGAGTCTAGGCAGTACCATGCCCACGATCACGACACCCATCTGTTCATATGCCCATCGGTGAATAGCGCGTGTCAGCCTAGCTGTGTCCGGCTGTTATTGCCTGCGGTTACAGGTGCGTCATCAACGTAACAAAGAGGTACGACGCTTGTGATATCTATCCTGAAGCACCATGAAATGTGACATCCGTAAAAGGTACAGTAGAATAGTTAGTCATTGCCCATGTAGAACACATTTATGGTGAGTGGTGACATTTATTTCCAGATAACAAATTTAACGAGAAGGATAAGGCTATGGCCACTGGCCAGTAGCCTTATCCACATGGCCACATGCGAACAAAACAACGTCACACAACGAATCAATGCCAAAAAATTAAAGGCATTTGGCCACACTGCAGCGCTCGTCTGCGACGAGCGCCAGGACTCCTGCTGGCAGGCCAGCGAGACGGGTTCCGAAACTCAGGGACCACAGCCCGGGTCGTCGAAACCATCAGGCAGGGCGACTGCAGCGATGCCATTCCTTGGGATTTGTCCCAAGATCTTGGGATTTGAACATTAACATTGGGATCTTGTGATTTGCACTGCATATCTTGGGATCTGGCAGAAGCTGATTTCACTTTGTCTTCTCATGCTGTCGAATGCTTTTTCCTTGGTCGATAATAGATTTAGGATGGATTTGCACTACGGACGGTTAATCAAACATATTGAAGTAACGGACGAAGCTTGCGATGTTTCTAGCCGGCATTATCTTCCCGAGATCGCAGGATTATTTTTGTACCATTACTTGTTATGGGTATAGTAGCAGCTTTCAGTCGCTGTTCGCAACTGGCGCTCAGTTGTTTAATTTCCAACTACCGATCAACGGGGATGGGTGGTTTGGCGGCATGATGGACGACGGTGAAAACAGGGCGCCTGGGGCGATTTGATCAAGGTTCGTGAAATTTACACGTGACGTTTAGCATGTAGATTGTAGAAGGCACACGAAGGGGGAGAAGCTACAAATGTCACGTGACTAATATGCCCTCCGGCGCCCTGTTTCACCGGCGTCCATGATGTTGGGTGGCTATGAAAAGCTTTTACAAACATTATGCCTAAAAAACATTTTAGAAAGCGGCTCCCGCACAAAGCGTTTCATTTTACGGTTTTGCTCTATGGAGGCTTATCCGTTGACCGCGAACCAAAATAAGGGCAATTTGTCTTTGACCTCGGAAAAGTGTCTGGTCACCTGACCTCTGGGCTCTGCTGGACCAAAAATAATCAAAGCGTAACATTGCGACCTTCACAACACTGCTGACGTCTTGTAACTATATAGTCCAGGGGACGAGTTAGGTCCTCGTTTAGACCCCCTCGCCATCGCCGGCTTGAAAATTCATGGGCCCCAGCGGGCACTGGCTTACGCGCAGATTCACAGCATAGGCTTTTCGATTTCAGGATTCACATAAGCTTTTAAGAGCTTGTTTTGGAGCCCATATTTCAAAACTCAGTGGTGGAAAACACTTAAAATCAGCCTGACCTCACCTGACCCTAGCTTCTCCAAATGTGTCACGAGACAAATTTTGAAATAAATCCAAAATGCCACAGACTTCGTTTCCAAGAAGTTCTAACAGATTCGGACTATGTGTTTTAAGTCCTTGACCCACCATTGACGGTCGACGAATGACCTGACCATAATATCAGATACCACCGGCTTCATGTTGTCTAGGCCAGCATCTTCATTTTTCGTGAAGCTCTTATACTCTGTCAGGAACCGATCAGCTGTAGGAGTCCGATCGACCCCCTCCCCCTCCCCTCCCCCCGGCCTCTAGGTACATTAGCTGCTGTAAATACGCCAATAAGGACAAGGGTGGACCCGAAGAAGAGAAAGTTGAATACTAAACACACTAATATGTCCAAAATAAGCTATGGATTTACTTGGGGTACTCCTAAGGATATTCGATGGCTAGTCTTGGGATTTGAGACGAGAATCTTGGGAAATTCTGGTCGAGATCTTGGGATGGAGCAAAAATGTGGATGGCATCACTGAGGGCGAGGGAGGATGGAAGATGAGCGAGCATATCGGCGCGATAGGCTTCAGTCAATTGCTGAGTGGGACCGAGGGCGTCCGTCCGTTGAAGACAGGTGGTCGACGGACTGCAAACAGCGTGCGGCGGTCTTCTCAAGGCTGTCCGATGGGCCGCTGGCCCTAAGCAGCGATAAATCACCTGCCAAGAAAACAAGGGATCAGAAAATTGACTCCCTCCTTTAAAGTCCAAAATGCTTTTTGCTCAAGCACCTCAGGGTCAGAGCCTCAGAGGAAGCAGTAATAGAGGCCTTCAGCAACCTCACCAAGCTATTCAGAGTGATAACAGGATGAGGCCTCAGGTCTGAAGACTTTACCGGACAGCTGGCGGAAGGCATTTTCCAGCAAATGGACAAAGACCTGCAGTAAATGTTCTCATGAGCATGTGCCATATTTTTGTTTGGATTGATGAGAGCTGATCATTCCATATGCAAACCAGTCCGTGCAAGGTTCTGAACAACTTTTTATAATTTCATCATTAAAAATCAAGTTGAATATTAAAAATTGTGGCACTTAAGTAGGCTTTCCAGCTTCACGGTCCGGGATACACATCACCAACAATCACCACATGTACGAGTGCTATGAATTCAGTGCCTTCTTGGGAATATTTTCCTATATTTAAGATAAAAAAATTACATGGATAGGTATGCCAAGATAAAACACAAGGCAATAACAATAATTTGAAGGAAGAAACAGCAAAAGTATCACCACACAGTACCTACTTATAATAAATAACTGTGAACATAAATTGGGAAATAAAATGACAATTTTGAGTGGCCAAGTATTTTAATCCTTACAAACTTCAGGGGAAAGCAAATCTAATGAAGCAAAATATTGCATTTTAGCACACATATTCTGACACAATCAAACACTAAATTGAAATGCTCTTCTATGAAGTAGGTACTCCAAAACAAAAACAAAAACGCAGGTAAAATCGTTTACAAATAGAAAATGAACGTTCTATGCCTGCCACCTATGGCTGAACAAATAAACAGAATATAAAATTAAATACCTAACAAAAAAAATAAATTTTCAAAACCGAATATAATCACAACATACCTATGTGAAACAATAAACACACAAAACAGTGCGGAGAGCATTTGTTTATGTGCGCCACCAATGTCAGTACAGCATCATATATGTCTTTCACGTATTACGTAGCTTGCAGTGATGACGTCATGTCCCGTGACGTAAATCGACCGCCGACGTCATAAGTCTGCTGATAAATAAACGGGGTGCGAACAGAGCTCCGGCCGGTAGGTCACGTGACCGCCGGGGCCTCGGGTCACGCAGCGGCCGGGAGTCTGACGCGGGACGTGGTCGCGGGCGGACGCGCGGGGCATCATGCTTTGATTTGTTTGCTTTGTCAACTTAATGTAACTTACGATCGCATACGTGTGAAACCCAAACACTGCTCAGTGCCCTTAGAAATTGAGTTTTGGAAAGCTCAAGTCCCTATAGCTCCTCAGGTCGGCAACAGTTGAAGCCTCATCTGAACCCATCTGAAAAAAGCGAAGGTAAGGAACCGTGTGCTGCTTTTTCTTTTACCGTCATAATTATCTCAAACCATCACAGTTTTGAGTTTCCACATTGTCTAGTTCACTACATTCGTGTAAAACTTGGGTGAAGGCTGGTGGCTCAAAGAAAGGTGAAGATATTTCTTTAAGTGCCTACTCCGTGAAATACTCCGGCTTTACAAATCTACACTTTTAATTTTCTCCACGATACATTTGTTAAAATTGTTAAAATTTAATCTACATTTGTTAAAATTGGGGCTTTGGTTTTGTGTCAACTAACTAGATCATAAAGCTTACTATAGTTTTGTTTAAAACCTGGTGGCTGAAGAAAATAGTGATTTTGCTAAAATGATTTTCGGAAATTTGTTGCTTTCCAAATCAAATAACTTATACCTATATTTCATTCAAAATTAGGAGGCATTATTACTGTTTTTTGTAACATGAACTGAGTTTGGGTACAGTGCTCCGGAAACGTTGTGGAACTTTAAGCTAGCTAGAGCAGTTTCCAAAAAAAATGTTTAGATAGTTGACATGAGCTTGTTGAGTTTTGATGTTTCTAAAAAAGTGAAAAATATTTTCCTGCAAAGTTAAGCAGACAAGGCATGTTATTCTCATAAGCTATCGAATGTGTGTGCGTGTGTGTGTGTGTGTGTTTTTTTTTTAAGCTGTCAATTGTAACTTCAGTTACTTCACTTTAAAACATATTGCCCAGAATGCGTCACTGATCATTTCATATCATATGTAGCAAATACATAAATGAGAATAGTGTGTCATGAATTTTTGTGCATGCTTCTGGATCATCTGTAATTACATCAAAGGTTCGGCTCAAGAGTGTCCTGCCCAAGATACCTATAAGAAACAGGTAGATCCGATGTTTGAAAGTAAAGCCCCAGTCACAAATTTGACGCACCTGTGACATTTCCTGACACCCACGTGACTATTGTATTAACTTTTGTGTTTTGCGATGTTTTGACCTTATTTAAAGTACTGAAAGCTCAAAATGTATGATTAATGTTGTTTAAAGCAGCATATTAATAATTATGTTTGTAAATTATTGATAAGCTGCTTATAGCGGGTCACGTGATTGCTACCAGATTATGTGCTCAGAAAGCACCTTTTCAACTTCGATTTTGAACAATTTTTACCTCCTTTGAGGCCAAATGATGGACGGTTTCGAGGCACACGATGAAATGCTGAATCTATTGATGCCAAAATTTGTTCGTTTTTTGCATTTTTAGACTACTGTATCCTGGCTCAAACTTTGACCAGTTTGTGTGTAAACCCTATGGTGAAGGGAAAACTTCACGCCCAGCAGGCGTCATTACAGTGCTGCCAAATCGTGTTTGGTGGGGGTCGGTCCTGCCGACCAGCTTATGCCCAACCCTTTCTGTCCGCAGAACGTCTTCCGTCGCCTGCGACTCCCGCACGCCGTTTGCGCCCCGTCCGTCCGTACCGGTCTTCGCGCTGCGAGCCGCGCTGCTGGAGTTCGCGGCAGCGTCGTGGAGCTCCCATCGGGACGGCGTGTGATGCCCGCGTCGAGCTTATAAGCCGTGAGCTTCGATTGGCGGCTCACGCGGTCACCAGCTGTATGTACAGCCTCGGCCCCGACGACCTCGCTAATGGCCGAGACCGGCATACCCCCGGCATGGGTCCGCTGTCCGGCGCAGCGCTGGCCGCCCGCATGTTACGTTTGGCTGTATCGCTGCCCAGCGGGAGCGCGCTCCACGCTGCGGTAGAGGTGCACGTTGCGACCCGACTGAGGACCGCAACCGGATGGTGAGACGTCGGCCTCTGCGCCCTGGCCGGGGCAGGCGTGACCGACGTCACAGGGGAGGAACGCCCAAACAAGACCAGCCCACCGTCGGCGTATTTACAAATTGCAACCGAGCTCCGCCGTAGGGTATTTTATTTCCGCCGTAGTGTATTTCACTTGGGGAATTTTCTACCATACAACTGCCTGAGCTTAGGGTAATTACAATATGTCGGCGACTTTAAAAAATGATGCACTTTTTTCGCAGTAGAGGATATCGCATGTGCATATTTCTGCCTTTTTGGGTGCGCTTTATCGGTTTTTCGTGAGTAACTCGCGTAAAAACCGTCCGATCGCGACGAAACTTTCATTGCCCCCGATTTTATTAATTTTACACCTACCCTGAAAATTTCATGACCCTGACCCAAATGACCTTTAACCTGTGACCTATTTCTCGAGACCATGTTTGGCCCGAATCGCGATTCGGCGTATGTCGGCTCGCATTAGCCGCGCGGTTGCAATCTTCACGTGGCTTCAAGCGTTGAAACATGTGATATGATGCTGGTCCCATGCATTAGAGTGAGTGTCAAGGTCACCTGAAGGTCAGGTCAGCTCAATGACCTTTGATGACCTCGGTTCCTTTTTCGAGTTTTACATGTTTTAGGCTAGTTTTTGGAGCTGATTTCGAATCTAGCAACCATTTGAACATTACAGGGGGTGTAACGAAATTATCCGGACACCTTTCTTCCCGCTGTAATTAAATAGCAAAACAATCTGGTACTTTTTCTTTTAACTGAGCTTGTAGCCACCTTTCATAAAAACACAGTGGTGAATGTTCTGGAGCATTTCAGCCAATGAATTCTCCAGCACACTGGCTTTGATGCGGACCAACGCCGTCTAAACCTGTGCCTGCGGTTGAGCAGTGCTTATGGCGGGTGACTCTTCATATACCTCCTGCTGAACAAGAGCCAACAGGTTTTCGATTGAATTGGGATCGCGACTTTTTCCAAGTCATAAGCGTTAGCCCAGAATGATTGAAGGTTCTATAGGCATCACTTCCCGTTCTTTTAGGGAATTTTAAGTAGCGCGCCGCCCCACATGAAGACAGCGCGGCTTGAATCAGGCATCAGTGCGCGTTCAGAAATCGTGCCCTCCTATGCCGTCTGGTTGAGCGCCTCCAATCATGCTCCACCACCTTCCCTGGAAAAGCTCCACCCTTGCCTATGGGGCAAAATATAATGGACAAAAACACAAAACAAGACAGATAAAAACAAAACAAAATTAGCTCATTACCTAATGAAAATCAGGCTGGAGCAAATACATAGGTAATAGGTATCTATGTCAACTTAGAATGAAAGATTAAAATCAACCTGACCAGGCCTTACGGTCTGACCTGGTCCTAACCACCTTACTAACCCAATTCAACCTAGCCTACCATAACACCTGCAGAGGTACCTTCCTGGAAAAATGACGCCCAGGGAGGTGACTGTCCAACTTATTGGAATACTACCATGATTGCTTGTCAAAATGTGTGTCATCATGCTCTTGTTTGACAAGTGATGTATAATAAATGTGATATTCAATAACTATCTCCTGACTGTTGACTGTTGAGTGGTCAAAATATTCAAATAATCAGGGTACAATGCTGTGCGTAGTGCACACTAATCATGTGGTTTTTGTGTAGGCCCTCTGCACATTGTTGTGTGCACTGCTATGTGCACCTTAAGTAAAAAAGTGACTGGTGGTACATGACAAAAGGTTGTGCAACTGTGAAGTTCATGCCCTTGGTCAAGCTGGTGCCAAATGCCTATAGCTATAGCAGGATCAGTGAGGGTTGTAACCGAAGGTTTGTTGTCAATAGTTAAAACAATATTCTTTAGAATTGTGTTTTTCTATTGAAAAACAAATCTGAGTTCCCTGACAATTTGGCAAAAGCTGCCTGAGATAGACATGCTACATACATTGTGCATTGAAGATATTGGCACAAAGTTCATCCGTAATTACTATGCTTAACACCTAATGTAAGAAGCGACATAAATGCCCAGATGATAAAACTCTCTGGTCAACATCACACAAATTTATTGACATACTTTGCAGGTACATATTTACATTCATGGCAAATACTTTCGATTTGATTCAGAAACTAGTTGCTAGTAAGCTTGCATTTTTGTAGGTACAACAACGATCATATATTAAATCATAAAAACCTTCTCATGGCATTCATCACATGCCTTTTTACCGAACAAGTACCTAGCTACCATGCCATGATTCTAAATTTTTCCGCAATCCATCTATATCTCAACTGACACAATAAATTTGAAATACCCTAACAAAACCTTTAACTGTACATAAGAAGAATGCAATACTACACAAGAACTATGACAATGTACAAGAACTGTGAATATGTACAAGAACTAGTATGTACAAGAACTATGAATTTATGAAGTTATTCTCACATGCTGGAATGTTGAAACTCTACTTTTGTCGTCCATTTCCACGTTTGATTGAGCCATCATATCGAACTGTTTTCTTTCTTCAGTCACAAGCTTTCGCACAAATCTTGAATTTTTACGCATCATCTTGAACCATGCTCCAGTATTTCCAGCAAGGTACTATGTAACATCAAAGCAATTTTGATTTTTTACAACAGCTTCAGATTCATGATAGGCTTGAGGTTTGTTACACCATTTGTCAGACAAATATCTACAAAATGTGTATCAATTCCCAAACTAAGTAATTGATCATATCAGTATTTGCAGTTTCCACAAAATGTTTCATAATACGGTATTATGATAGCAGGCGTCTCACATGCTGCCACCGGTTTGGGAAAAGTCGCTAGATTCGTCAGGTCTAGAGATATTTCTACCAAGTCGCTATAT